GATGGGAGGGAATCACCCAGTTCAGGGACATCTTTGCTTACTGTGCAGCACCTGGTCAGAACTGTTTTTCATCACTAAATCCTTTAGTGAACAGAGTCACCAGAAGAGAGAACCCAAGGAGCAGCTCTGCTCTGCCCCAGGGTCAGGGCTCCCTGGCACTGCACTGCACCAAATGCAGCAAAGGAAGGGGAGGGAGGATGCTCCAATTCCACAGAGCTCTGAGAGCTCAGGGTTACACAGGGTAAATGCACCTTTTTTTCCTTCCTTAACCTTGCCTGTTTCAGAGGACACTGAACCCTGTATTAAATGCAGTAAAATGCAGTTACTCCTTCAGCACTCAGAGTCACGAACCTGCCTGAACACGATGCCAAGCACAGAGCTCTGCTCCGCTGCAAACACCCGACTCCCACGCGCTCCGGGCTGTGGTCACTGGTACAGCTCTGCAGAACCAGCTGCAGTGCCAGCAGCTCCTGCAGGATGGCACAGGTTGTAGAAACTGCTACTAGGAAGGAAAAGCATTTGTAAGAAGGCAAGACAAAAAAAGAAATCACAATACTCAGTAACACAAAAGTAAACGTAGAACTACGTGTGTTAAAAAAAGACAAAGCAGAACTTGCCTGTTGTCTGAACCCTGTTTATATCTTGTGGCATTTATTCCAAATATTAAGAAAAACTTGTTATAAAGGGGAAACAACTCAAACCAAAACAAAATAGAGACAGAACAAAGGAAGTTTTGCTGCAAATGTCACTCTGAAGTCCTGTCCCACTGACAGGAGTTTTACTGGCTTTACAAACTGCTCCAAAATCACACATGAGACATGAGTCCTGACACAGAAAAACTCTGCAGGAGTGTTTAACCTGCTGAATTCACACAGTGGATCTTCAAACTGTGAAAACACAGAAGACACTTTTTTGGGAGGAAAAAAAAAAAATCCAGGAAACACGATGACTCAACATAACCACATCTGGGGCTGTAAAGGCTGCTGCTCATTATTGTGATTAGAAAATAATATAAAGTGTGAACCTCAAGTAACAGAAGGTCCTTTGCACAGGAAAATGCTGCAGAGATGCATCAGGCACTGCTCAGAACCAGGTACCAACCCCCTGTAGGATGGAAAGCTCCAAACCTACTGGGCTGACTCACAATGCCAAGGGACAGCGACAGAATTTGACCACATCCAATTCTCTGAAATTAGTTCACATAGGCACTGATACAGATAATGTTTTCCTTTAATAGTGAAGGATTTTATAATGAAGCAGAAACATATAATATATTCCATGCAACCAACCTCATTTATTGAAAAGTCCTAATTTTATTGCCTTGTTTAGTAACATGTTTGTTCAACAAACTAATCTTTTTCATGAAGCAAAGCACAACTTTTTCTTATAAATAGTATAAATTATTTTATTTACAGAAACTTGTTACAAAACAAATAGACTATATATTTATTTTTCTTTTAAATATCCAAAGTAATTTTTCTATCCCATGACATTTGTTCATGTACTATACAGCAGCCAACACAGAGTTCAGCTGATCAGATGCTCTTGATTATGTATACAAATTATCAAACTATTCACACATTTTACACAGGAGATTGCTTTTAGAACCAGGCTCAACACCGAGCAAGATGCTTCCAAGGCCTACATTCACATTGACATTATGTAGTGCTCATTTCAAAATTATCTTTAAAACATAAAATATCTCGCACAAAAGGTAAAAATGATTATTTTCTGCTGAACAGTGAAACATTTAAGAATCTTTCTAAGCCCAATTCCCTCCTCCAGGACAGAATGAGTAAAAGATGAGAGATTCCTTGGCAAGAGAACTCTTACAGGAAGACAAATGCCTTAGAAATGTCATTTGGAAATCACATCTTTCTTTTTTTCATGGTTTTAAGAGGTACTTACGTGGGGTTTTTTCTTTGTTTTGGAATACCAACAATTTGGAACATTTTCTAAATTATTTGATTAACGAATATTGCTCCCCCCTACCCAAAATGAGACAGTTAAATAAACTGCTGGTTAAAACCATATCTCAAACCCTTGGCATTATACTAAATATGAGTTATTGATAGGATTGTTTCAACATAAGGTGTTAAAATTAAAAGATTTTACAAAAGCTACCAGCGTAATTTGCTTTCTTTTGTCAACCCATCTCATTAATTTCAGAAATATAGATATATGCATGTGTGGATATACACACACGCACATATATTATATATAGGTGGAAAAAGCAAGCTCCAAAATTTCAACTGAACATTCAAGTCTTTTAAGGAGAAGCTGTCTAAACAGTCCAAGCTTAAAACTAGTTATATCAGGCACTTTCAGTTTTTCCGTTAGTTTTAAACCACATGAGACCCACACGGATGCGCACGCACACACACGCACACGAACACTAAAAAAAGAGAAGCAGTGTGTCACAGAACTGAATGGATCTTCTGGGAGCCAGGAACTGAAAACAACGCCACAGCAGCCCCGTGGGCCCGGGCTGGGACCCTTGCTGTGGATCCACCCACTCCCAGGACAGGGAAAAGGGACACGGCTTTCACAAAACGGAGGCATCCCTTACATTGCAAAGTAGGCATGTTAACTATTGGCTTGGCAGTGAACCACTTCAAATTATAAAAAGGTATTTGCTTTTTTTTTTTTTAATTAATTAATAAATAAATACTAGATGATCTCAATTGTACCAAAACTGGATATAAGAAAAAAAGACCTGTGCAAAAATACATATTTAAATATGTACAATCAATTAACAAAATATGTCTTCTGAAATAGGGATACTTCAATATTTATAATAGAACAAGAAATTCCAAAATAAAGATACAAAAGTATGTTTTTTTTTTTCTTGTATAATTCTTTGTTCATCATTGCAGCAATTTTTTAGGTTAAGAAAACTGCAGGAGTCATAACGAGAAGTTGGAAAGACTATAAAAACTGTATCTCTTAAATTAATACCAAAATCTGTCTAGAAACAACCCAGCCACTGCAAATTCAATTTTGCAAGGAAAATTAATTTTAAGCTTCCTTAATTATTTACAGTAAGAACTATGTGACAATAAAAGCTTCAGGAACAATGTTCTGCTTATAACCAAGATCTAAAACATAACATTTAGAGCAGGTCTAGGGCAGGCAGAATTTATGCTCGGACTCTTTGCTCCAGTGGCTCAAGCCCCCACGGTGCAGGTGGCTGCACACACTGGCTCTGGAGGAGCAGCCATCAGAAATTCACTTTGTACACATCTGCATGCTACTGAAGGAGCACATATTTGCCATTTTGCTTTCAGATCAACAGAACCTTAAAAACAACCTTAAAAACCAGAGGACAGTTCAATCACAAACTCGCCAGCATCCAATCGTGCCGAATTTTCATTTCCTTTACCTTTGTTTCTACCAAGAGTCAAATTGCACTTGTGACTGATGCTGTCCAGAAGTGGAAGCTCTGCCCCAGGGACTTCATCAGAGCATGGATTTCTCTCCAAACATGCAGGATTTAATACACTTGGATTTCTTTTTGTGGCATTTCGCTTTGGTTCCTTTTACATTAAACCAATCGCAGTTCTAACAATCCTTTCAACAGGGCATCCTATTAAATACGAATCCTTTTGTTCCTGAAAAGTTGTCTACTGTTTTTTTTTTTAAAGTTTGCATAATAAGAGTCTCTAGTACATTGCTTTCTCAGTGTGATCTTTTGTATCAATTCAAAGCTAAAGTGTCTGCATAGAGGCTTCTTGTTGTTTTGCTGTATAACAATGATTTCATAGGAAGTTCAGGAGAAACTGAAAGCATTGTTAGGTAAACAACTAAGCAACTGCTACTCAGAGTGGCTTTGGATTCCCTGATGTACTTACTACTTGCCACCAGAACGGGGAGAAGGCTGGGCTACGTGAACAGTTGGACAGGCTCAGATTGTCTCTTCTCAGCAATAGCTGATGCCCCTTTAAGGCAGAAAATAAAAATCTTCTTCATTAGGATTTCATCTTCCTTTGCTTTGCCCCCTTAATAAAAGTTTAGTCAGTTTTGAGCCTTTACCTGATGTTTAAAAAATTAACAAAAACATCCAGATGAGTCAAACCATAATACAATGAGCCCTTTGGCGGAATTCATTTTTGAGTGTTTCGAAACAAGACAAAATACTCCATAAAAATTGGCTGGATTATACAAAACTGTAAAGCCCCACATGCTCATAAAGCCTGGGTGGGCCTGGGATGACTGTGATGCACAAAGCAGTGCTTCACAGTGAACTCTGCTGTCAAATTGGCATTTATTCCAGAATTCTGACTAAAAAAAAAAAAAAATAAAAAATCTTACTGAGTGGTAGAAGGCGTCACACATCAACAATTTTGTTACACAAACAAGGCAGAAAGAAACTGACTTTTATGGTTGTTAAAAATATTTAAATATTTTTAAATCCAGTTTTAAAAAGGGCTAATTTTATCAGCTGGAAGAGGAAGACAAATCCAGCCTAATTTCACCAATACAGTTCTTTTTTAAAAAAAACACAAAGGCCTGTGGTATACAGTCTAGGTCAATAAATAAGTTCTTTGGGCATAGAGTTTTAGAGGTTATTTGCCTTTGTTTGTTTGATATTTTTGGAATTTTTAAAGAACAAAATTAACTCTTCTTCCACAATAAAATCTCATTCAAAAGAATAGAAAATAGGTTTTGTATCACACAAATACGGCATTTTTATACTTGTTTTCTGAGCAGTGGCCTCAAACAAGTTTTTCTGGTTTTGTTGGGTTTGTTTTGTTTTAAACTCCTGATAGCTTCTTATCCCAAATTACCTGCAAAAGGCTGGGCAAAACAGACAATTTTTTGAATTGTGCTATTTTTTTATATTCCATTAAAGGAACATTGCTATAAAAACACTAAAGCCATATTCCCTTCTTGAGGGCTTCTTTCCATTGTGCCTCACACATTTTTCCCCTTGTCACGGGGTCCTCTCCATTGAGGGTGTCTGTCTGGTTAGCTAACACCTACAAAAGACACCATCAGTATAAAAATAAGTCCACAGTAATGTTTATTTCCCCCCAGAAAACATTCGTTTGCCCAGCCAAACTATGTCAAATAGTGGCAAGATGATGTACTCCTGTAAGGAAAATCTCACAGATTTGTAGCAAACAGTCCAGACCACTGTTAACACTGATAAAAGCAATTATGTGGCTGAACTTCATCCAGTGTCCATTTCTAGTATATTCACTGCTACAGACATGGCTTCAGGGAAATTCCTTGTTTAAGTGACAGTCCAGTAGATTTCCACACCTGAGGACCATGGGAAGTTGGGAAAACTCAAGGCATCTTGGAGTCCAGAAATCCAGGTGGAGGTTTTGCTTGTAGTGAAAACTGTCCAGTTTGTTTCTCACCGTGGTGCCATCAGGGACGGGCCTTCGGCTTGGGGGCAAGAAAAGAGAACCATCAGTGAGCCAGAGGCACTGAAAACAAACACATTTTGTGGCTAACAAGGGCATATCTGGGGGAAAATTTCAGGCACAAAGCAACCTTGATAACATGCCTCTCTGAGAATTGAAAATCCTCAACTAAACCTCTTCAAAGTTATAATCATGTTTTCCTTCTTAGTTCATTCAAATTATATTCCTCTTTTACTTATATTGCATAGTTGATATAGTAATTATTAGCTAAGTCCAAAAATAAATTCAGCCATATCAATGCTGTTTTTGGCTAAGTAAACGCACATAAAGGTGAAAATCTTCCTCTGTGGTTGAAACTGAAAATTAAGAAACCACTCTCAGAAAGTTCTTACTGACCTCCTGGCTCTCCAGCTACAGAGATTTCAGTTTTTAGCAGCAGAGGAAACCAAGTTTCTTGGATTTTTAATCCTGAATGCACTACTTTTCCAGTGAGATTTGTTGAAAAAAAACCACAAAATCCCAAACTAATTTTTAAAATGGGATCTTACATACTCATGAGATCTGCTTCCTTTATAGCATATCTGTTTGCCTTACTAACTAAAAAGGTTTATTATCTGATTTATTATATTTAATCTCATTATTACTAAGAAGTTTGTCAATGACACCTCGGGAATATAGGTTTATTTTATCACAGTATCACAGTTCTGTTATCAGCATCATTATGTTCCATTTTGTAGAATGTTTATTTCTGACACAAAAACAAGGACTTAGGCTGAGGCACACAGCTCAGTTCCATGCCAGGCTGGCAAGATTCACTTCTAAAATTACGGCTTAAAAATAAGAGAAATTAATTTTAACTGAAAGCAATTCACAGGCTACAGCATCTAAGGAACTTGAAATATCCCATGTAACATTTCTTTCCTAAAGTGTAGCTTTTTTATTTAGAACATTTATACAAGTCTTGTGTAAATGAGTAAATGTAAGAACACTCAAAATGAGTACTGGAGAAAAAGAACTACCTTTTCCTTGAGCAGGCTCTGGAACTGGATATCTGTTTAACACTTAAGAGAACACATGTATTATAAGCACGTGAGGAGGCATTTCATGCTTGCTTAGTTTGAGACAAGATTTCCTACCTGATGAAACAGAGAATTGTTCATCAGTCCTTGCGTCCCTGGGATTGCACCAGTGTGTTTTGCATGAACATTGTTCACTGATGTCAATTTGGCAACTTTGTTTGATTTGCTGCTGCTGCTGTTGATGCTGCTTGAACCAGGTGAGCACTTTCTTTTCTTTCCTATTAATTTGTCAAGGGAAGTATGTGAATGTGAAAAACTGCTGTGTGAATTTACAGTCAGCTCACTAGACTGATGAACAAATGGCCCTAAGGAGAGCGTGGAGTCGCTGCTGTTCATCATCACACTCATTCTCTTTATGGATTCTGCAGGGCTCCCGGTTGGAGGACCCCTCCCTGATTGGTCATGTTTGAGGCTAACAGAGTTAGCTTTGCTAGTCATACAGTTGAGGCCAACGCTGTGGGACGAAGCTGTCACCGATGGATGATAGGAGGTCCCAGAGTTTCCAGAGTTAACCACACAGTTTTTTCTAAAGGACTCTGTGGAATGAGAAGGTGCGAGCAGTGCGGAACTGTTTTTACGCTTCTTTCCTGAGCCGCCGCTGCTACTGACGCTGCCGGTGCTGTTACAGGTGCCACTGCCAGCAGAAGATTCCTTAGGTTTAAAAGATTTGCTGGATTTCATTTTCTGAGGTTTGCTGGGCATAGGTGAAGGTACAGAGGAAAGCACTGTAGGTGTTGAAGGGGAAGAAGACACTTGTCTTGATTGCATACTGCAGACAGGATCCACTGCACCCAGAGCAGCGGGATTGGCATTTAGTGTCGTCCCATGGGATGGTACCGATTTGTGGTTCAGAGACACACAGGAAGGAGAGACCAACGCTGGCGATGACATAACCGTGGTGGGTAAGAGGAACCCTGCTGCATTGACACTGTGCTGAGAAGCAGGCATCAGGTTTGTCCGATGTGGGGCACGGACCGATGCTGTGTTACTGGATGCTGGAGGAATTTTCCTGCGGGTGAGCAGAAAAACAAAGATAAAACTCCACATAGCCACCATTCCTCAGACCAATACCCACTCTAATAATGCTGCCTTAAAATGATTGTATCTTGGGGTTGATTAATGCCCCTGGAAGATTTTATTATACTAATAGTTAATCGTTGCAAAAAATATAAAGCAAAGACTATCAACCTTCAGTCAGGACACAAGATTATTTTTCTTTAATTAGAATCACAAGGTTCCTTTACTTCTACAAACACCAAGAAAAATAAGAACTCTTTCACTTCTACTCACTTCCACATCTGTGAATTAAGATGCTTCTCCAACATGAAGTCAAGTGCACATCGAATATGGTTCCACCGCTTGTCAAACACGTAATAACCTCTTCCAATTTGCTGACTACCAAATGTGCAAAACTGAAAAGACATGATTTTCATTGGTGTTTTCTACTTTCAATCACAACTCTCTGAATAACAATTTGTTTATGATAAATATGCTTTTAGATATTTAAGTAGAGGACGAGAAAATCTAAATTAAGTGTTTCTATGTCTGTGGCCCAACAACTATTTTAAATTTTTCGCCCTGATATATTGAGATAAATTTCTTGTCTTCTGATACTCCCATGCTTAATAGAAGAAGTCAAATTTGAACTCCTCTGATTAAACAAAAAAGGTTAGCAGTATGTCTGTTTATGTATGAACAAAATACCTTACTGCTACCTTTAATGTGATGTTGGTAGCTTGAGTAAAAAATGTGTGTGGATGTGGAGGGGAGAGTCCAATAAGAAAATCGCACCAAAAAGACACTGTTTACATGTCCTTATTTCAAAACCACAGCCCTTTAGAGCAGTTACCAATTTCATCTTTAGTATTCTGGCATTTTGGTTTCTTTTGGACTGGGGAAGTGAGCTATGAACACATTTTTTTAGCATGTTTATTTTGCAACTAGTTAAACCTTCACCGCCTACTAGGCCACAAAATAATTTTCTCAAAATATAGGGAGGGAAAGAAAAAAAAAAGAAAAAGAGGAAGAAAAAAAAAAATCACATACCCCACAGAAAACCACCTGTAAACCCCAAAGTAACTTGTTTACACAATTAGAGTCAGGGAGAGACTGAGGTTAACTTTGAAAACTTACAGCGGCTGGTTGAGGATGATGACCTGAATAATAACAATCCAGTTTTTCAACAGGCTCTTCTTTTTCATCACATTCTCCCTCATCACTGGATAACCGAGATGCTGGCTCAGCTGCAGGCAAGGGAGGGTGCGGGGACTCGTGGACAGAAGGAGACTCGCTGGGGGCATTTCCACTGTGCTGGGCTGGACAGCCTGGAGGCCTGGGCAGGACAAGCAGTAACCAGGTGTCATTGAAACAAGCCCAGTTAAAAATCCCACCCTTTAAGTGCTTATTATTACTGAGAGAATAAAAATCTACATTAAGAGATCCCTGGTGTAGTCCACGGTCTTGTAACCTGCCAAGGGGAAGGACACAGTACGGTGGTACCCCTGGAAAAGCAGTGTTGCCCAACTGTTGCTCAACTGCTTCCACTGATTGCAAGTCAGCTTTTACTACTTCAAACACCAACCCTTCCTCGCCAGGAGTCACCCTCAGCAGGTAATTGCTAACTGCAGACAGGCACCAGGCCTGGAGCAACCACACTGCCCCATCCAACAGATCCATATCGCTCCCTCAAAATCCCCCTCATCAAGCTCCCAGTATTGGTTTCATACCACCGCATCTGCAGATTTTCCTTACCTTGGAAGACTGGGGGGGTGAGGTTTGGGTTTATTAGGTAATAAAGGCTTTGATTCTGTAAGAGTAACTCCATGAGAATTTTGGTGCAGCTCCTGGGAAGTTTTAGTAGGTGAGGGATGTGGTTCCCTGAGAGGGGGCATCTGCTGATGATGATCCGAATGTCGAAGAAGTTCCTTTTCCCTGGTTTTGCTTTTGTGCTCAGCTAACAACACATCAAATCGCTTTCTTCGACCCTGTACAGCCCTCCGCTGGGTTAAGGAATGTGTCTGCAGAACCAGGAATAAATCATTAATCCCAGGCTATGACATTTGTGGAAGTCAAACACTCAAAACGTCTGTCTAGAACTCCAAAACAGAGAAAATCATCACAGTCCTGGTTTAGTAAACAAATGGAAATATGACTTAGAAAGCAAACTTTAGAATTGTTTGGTGGATGATTATATCCTTGTTTGATACAGAGTAACAACACCAGCAATTCAGTAAAAGGCTTCTTTCAAACTTCTTTATAAAAACCAAACTGCCAAATTTTTTAATAAGGTTAAGACTAGAACCAAAAACCTTTTCTTACATTGGTATTTCAATTGCCAACTCCTGCAAAACCAAAAAGAGAAAATATTTACTTTCACTTACAAAAATATTCAACAAAATAATGTTTAAAATCAGACTTCTAATGGGAGACCTGAAAAATATTTATAAAAGTACTGCATTGCCTTCTATAAACTAATATATTCATTGAAAACTAATGTAATCAAATAGATATTGAGGAATTAAAAACATTCAGCAGAATCTAGAGTCAGGACTCAAAGTTCTTTGAGCGTCCTGAACACTACAGACAGTAAGGGGTGTGTGTATGTGTATAAATGGCACCAATTCTAAATAAGGCAAAGTAAATAGAAGCTATTTTTCTGAATTGTAAGAGTCACACACAAAACCTCTTTAATACAGCACAAAGGCATTGATTTCATTCTTTTTAGTAGGTAAAAAATTTTATCACATAATTCAGACACAAACAGAAATTCCAAAAATTATTTTATGAGTGGTATATTCTAAAGAATTGCTAAGAAATGTTTTTACTCTCTTTTTCACTTTTCATTTGCCTATTTCTCTTGTAAAATCTTGCAGCTTTTCCCTCCTCTATTAGCAAAACAATTTCCTCCCCTCTGTAATTCCAAAAGGGCAATGTGTTCAAGTTCAGTTCCTCTGGGTCATTAGTGCCAGCTTCAGTTACCTTTGTTCTGTAGGTGGTTTATTTACCAGACATTTCCCAAACTGAGGGTAGAACTGCTTTGCAGAAAAGCAGCAAAATATTACACAAGTGCAGGGGATATGGATTCTTGGTTCCCTGGGAGCAAGGACAGCCCCTCTGTCCCCTAGTGTTTTGGAGCCAGAGGATACATTTTGTCTGACTGAAAGTTTATATGACTGTTTAATTTAGAGTTTGACCTCTAGGCATGCTCCATGGCTTTCAGGAGCTGGCTGTAGCAGTACATCCAGCAGCATTACCATTTACACAAATTCCTGCCAAGAACCTGCTGCAGACTCTGCTGCGGGGAGAGGAAAGGGTGTGACAAGGGAAGACCTTAAATTATTTAAATCCTGCATAAGCAATATATTCAATGCTTATGAGGAATTTTAAAATTCATGATCTACAACCCAAAGGTTACCCCCCAAAAAGAGGAACATGCTGGCCCCCTGCTACCTACATGTGGAGTAACACAGTTTGTCCCATGCCAACATCCATCTTTTAAGGGTCTATACAAAAATACAAATCTCCAGGCTACTTTGAGAAATACTTTCTGAATAAATAATTAACTGAACTTCAAAAACAATTTCTTCTTGGTTCTGAGCAACGTGTTTTGAGAGGTACCTCTTACACTGGTAATTACCAACAGCAAAAATTCACAGTTCTCAGTTTTCTATCATGTTCCTCAAGAATTTGAATAAAAACTTCAGATAATCTTATCCTGATTCAGATATCCTACCTTGCATGTTAAAGACCTAGTACAAGGTTTCCTGGTTTCCACATCAATGACACCACAGTATATATCAGGATCAAATTCTCTCTCTGTAAAAGACAAGGAGTATTGAAAAGTTATCAAAAGACATTTTGAAATACTAACATTTAGTTTCATTATAAAAATTAATCATATTGGAAACTTTTCAAATATGACACATGCAAATGTACATATAAAAATGCACAATAAAATAGTACAAATGAATTTTACTACACTCTCAGGAAGCTTATGGTGTGTTGAAATACAGATCTCAAGTCTACAAACACCTGCAAGTGACCTCAAAGGAGGATTTGATGCTGCCTGTTAGGAGCAGAAATCACCATTATGGACTGTGACAAATGGTGGGTTTTTGCTTGTTGGCTTTGATGACAAGAACTTTTCTACCATTCTACTAACACTCAAAATAATTGTGCTAAAATGTGTAAAGAGCAGACTGGGTTTCTATTTTTGAATTTATAAGGTGCTAGTTCTGTTTTCTGTGTACATTTGGATCTTCCATATAAAAAAAGGAAACTAAAGTCTTTAGATATAATAGAAGAGTGCAATTTTAAAACTGTCAGAACTGACAGGTATTTGAGATCTGTAGAGGTTTCTGAAAGGAAAAGCCAGTTTCAAGGTGTTTGAATCCTTAAAGTGTATGTCAAATTATATATTTAAATTATGATACTGAAAAACTCTTATTACAAGTTACAGTATTACAGGAGTCTTAATTTACTTCTGGAACTAATTTCCATAAATATATTTCTACTAAAAGGAACATAGCTAATTATAATTAAAAAAAAAAATTACCTGACAATCTTTTATGTAAAAATTTCCTATTATTCGTATTTTCTTCAGGTTTCTTTTCCAAAAATGGAGGCACAGAGAGAAGACCTTTACCATTCAGTATCTGTCCAGGGGAAGGCAAGGGTGGCTTTGGTATTGAGGGACAATTAAGGCCAGTCTTTATTGAGGAACTCACAGTAGTAGAACAAGTTGGACCAAACAATACTCTGATCTATTGCAAATATAAATGCAGACCTTCCTCCTACTGTCTTTTTAATTTTCACATTTTTTATGATACCCATAATCTCTTCTGTCCTCTTTTCCCTGACACTTCAGTGTCCAAGGGACTTCAGAAACAATTATCTGCATTCATGGACACAGAGTATCAGTGCAAACTGCCCAAAGCACCTGCAATGGACACATTACATCCAGTGAGAAATGCACTGTTCTGGAGCAGCAAATTTTATCAGCACTGCTGTTATCCCACATGTGCAGGTCAGAAATCACCTGAATGAGAGCTAAAACTCCCTTATGATCAACATATCCAGATTACATCAAAGAATTAGGAGCCTCTAGTAAAATGACCTTTATTTGTGATGATTTAAGATATAGCTTTGCAAGAGCTCTTCTTCAACACAGATATGAGCATTAAATATAATCTTTGACTGAGCTGTCGGAAAAGATTTGAAGGAGTTTAAAATTATTATCTCCTAAACCAAAAAGGCGGTGAAACAAAAGGAAACCTTCTTGACATAGCAGTGTCTATGCAAGTAATGACATTTAATTCTCTTTCAGAAGGCATACTCACATTTTGTCATGGGGAACTTTGCTGTGCTGTACCGAATGCATTAACCTGTTGTTTCCGCTGATCTGCAGCTTGTCTTTGGGTGATTTCAACAACTTGGAATTTGATGATGATGCACTAGTACCTCCACTGGATGAACGATTGCTCCCACTTCCACTGCTACCTTTGTTTTTTGAAGGGAAAGATGAAATGAGGGAAAATACTGAAGAGGAGGGCGGAGTCAAAGGCGGCTTGCTGGAGGAGCTGTGTCTTCTTTCTGAAAGAGTGAAAAGAAGTTTTAAGCTTCCATACAGAAAGAATTTGTAAATACTTCCTGTCATTTACTCCATTAACATTTTTCCTTGATTGGCTTGGGAGGTTCCCTGCCACACACAGAGCATAGAGGATTCAAGCCTGTCTGTAATCCATGAGGTTCCACTCAATGCTGGTCTCCAGAGGGTTACTGGAATCTTTTTGAGCTTTGGGAGCTGCATATCTCAGCCACTAAAGCTTAGCTCTCCCTCCATCTCAAACAATCAGCTCTGGATCTCAGACACACAAAGCCAAGAAACTCCTATCCTCAGGCCAGGCAAGCTTAAATATCATATTCCCTTAAAGGATAAGAATTATCTGTAAGTATGTCTCCTAGTCATCAAAATTATATGGAATCCAACATTTTAACTTTTACTTCATGACAAAATTTTGGTATGATGTATCAGACCTCCAGTATGGAATACCTCTGAGAGCATCAATAGCTGAACGACAGCTCAAATATTGACCTACACTGGTTTTTTTGAGCATGATTGTTTTTTGTTTGGCTGGGTTTTTTCCTCCACTTGCTTCTATTTAGCAGCAGCATCAAAAGCAGCAACAGATATTCTACAAAAACCTGAGTATCTGAGTTAAGAGAGATCAGATTCTGTCACTGGATGTGTTTTTTAACTAACACCAAACAATGAAAATTTCTAAGTTGCTAGCACCATTTCAGGTAAAATAGTGTCTATTGTAAAAGTAGTTCTTCAGAAGCATGAATTCTCAAAACACCTGGCAGCTTCCAGTTCTGCCTACACAGACACGTTAATGGACCGTGTGCTCACTGGACACCTGTGATTCCTCGAGGATCTGTGTAATCAATACCTCATTAGGAGACACTTCTGGCAATCAAATAAATTAAAACCACAGATCTAAGAGACACAGGAAAGAGGTCTGTCAGGGGAGTGCAAAGGCAGTGGTAACACCTCTTTTGCAACAAAATATTGTTAAAGGTGCCCAAATCCGATCAATCTCAGGATCACCTTACAGATTTTGATTTAACTGTGGAAGCAGCAGGCTACACATGAAGCTACAATCACAGCCAAGAGTGACAGCCAAGTCCAGTGCAACCTGTGCAGAAGCCAGCGTTCTCTGGGAAATGTAAATTTGTACATCTGTGTTCTGCTTATATGACCAATTTGGAAGTAGCACTTGAAATGTGTTCATTAGCTCAGAAAAATAAAAATAATGAATGAATATAGAGCTTGGACTAAGAAAGAAACTGAACCAACTCCTGTGTGTTTCTCTGGTCAACTGCAAAAATGGGTGCAAATTACCTAACAAATCTTCTGCAAAATTTTGCAAAATACTCATAATTTCTGAATGGGTAATTACCAAGAAATCAAATGTGAAATGCCCAACAAAAATACCAAACAAATTCAGTAACTTATCACTCATCTCAAGGAACAACTGCTTTAAAATGGTAGTATTTAAAACGATTAGTTACCAAAATCATCTACTTAGTTTTCTAGAACCAGCTGCCACTGAAGAGTTTATAAATGAAATATTTTAGCACATTTACATTCTAGTAAATGCCTGTGCTTCTACTATGACGCAGTGCTTATTGCCAAATGGCTTTTTATAGCAACAGCAAGAATCCCTCAGCAGCTCTCCTAAGTTACTATTTGAGGGCCATTAGAGTTCAGTGATGCTACACCCTGTGAGATAATGAGAAACATTACTCAATACTCTTCCGCATTCTGTATATTTAGAAAATTCAAAATCCAAGTGCTTATCACAGTTACAAATAATCTCCAATAAGCCAGAGGATGACTAATGCAATACTTGGGAGCTTGTTATGATGACTTCTGCTTTTTGAAGGAAATAAGAGTATTGCTTTCTTGAAAAAACCTAGCAGATGAAGAGAAAAAGGGACTAGAATAAAACTGACAACCTCCTTGCATTCCATCATTAGGAAGAAACTAGACAAAATAGGAATCTCAGCTGTTTATCTGGATATAAGGATATTTCTCTTCTGTCAACTGTAACTGGCACTGTTCTGGTACCAAACTGAGATGCTACTGCTATTTGCACAAATGTTTAACAGCACCAGGCTCAACCAAGTGAGTTCAATAGAAAGTGTTTTAAATTGGTGATAACAAAAAAAGTTACCTAAGAGAACTAAGGCTAAAGGCTGACACACACAAGTTTACAGTATACCTGTCAGAGGATTTCCATACACAGACACACGCAACAAAAAAAAACCACATCAAATTAATTTATTCTAGAATTCTGGGACAATTTCTGAAAGAGATATTGCAACAATGCAAGGCTGTGAAATCTTCACTTACTACTTCTGTGCATAACCATGATTTATGTTGTCTATCAACAAAACAAGAATTATTTTCAGCTCATTTTTCATAACCTGCCTAAACCTATTTTTTTTGTTGACATACATACAAATTGAGGTAGGGCTGCTACTCAAAGCGAGATTTCTACTCACTTTCTACTAAGTGAAATCTACTTAAGAATTCTTTTGCAAACCATGTGAAGAACTCTGAAGTCTCATTTTAATAGAGAAAGCTAATATTATTTTTGAAACCAGACATATTACGAATTGCATATTTGATCTAATGAATATAGTTACTGACAGACTGACACAGTTTTTACTGGAAAAATTACTACACAAACTATCACTGAATAATCAAGACCACCATGCTTTTTATGCTAAGCATATTATAATAATAAATTCTACTAATGTTCTGCCAATTTAACATAGTTCCCATTTGTCGTTAATTCTGCCTCAGCCTGAAAACATTTAAAAATATAACTATCTCCAGGTGTTCAGTTTTCAAATTTTAAAGGTTGATACTCCCATCCCTTCCCTTCACATAACTCTTGAGAGGAAAACAATTATTTTGGTCATGATTGCTTATATAGCGTATCAAAGTGATGTTTCCATTTCTGGGCAAAGGACCAGAAAATCTTCCTTGATGCCACAGCACTGGAAAGAATCTGATCTAAAATGGAAGCTAGTGTTCAACACTAAATTTTAACAGGTAAACTCCTCCTTAAATACCTTTGCATTTATACAACAGGTTTGTGACACTGTGGAGAAGGACTGGGCAGAGTTAGAAAACTGAAAAGATGGCATCCCAGTAAACAATGTCTCTGCTCCATGGCCAGGATAACTGTTAACTACCAAGTTGGAAAAACACAGCATCTCTCTGCTCTAGCTGAGCAAGTATTATATATGGATCAGGCCAAAGGACACAGAACTTCCTGATGAAATAGATACTGATAGTATAAATCCTTTCCAGAGCTTAAAGGAAGCTTCAACTGGCCCTTAGTCTGGCTGCCATTTTTCTCTGGTTTATAAATCTATTTTCCATTGTCTATTTCCTACTAAATATGCAACAATCTCTGAAAAATGCAAAAAAGTAACCTGGAAGGGGCAGAAAAAAAAAAAAAAAAGGAAAAAAGAGGAGAAAGCTTCTCATTGTGTTTGGCTACTACTGCTTATTCTTCTATCCATGAGCTAACAGTTTGACTTACTATGATTCATAACTTATTGCTATATTAAAAGATGATACCCTTTTATAGAAAAAAGCATTTGATTTTTTAAAAAATGCTACTTTCTTTGCTGCATGCTTACAAAAAAAAATTAAGAAAAAATTAATTTAAGAGCAAAAATACTCTTAACCATTTTCAAGGCATTCCTCCCATGTCTATGCTTATTTCTCAAAAGCTAGAAAGTATTTGTTACTGTTCATTTTCTCTGGGCATCAATTAATAGCTTTGGGCAGCAAATACAAGATGTCCAGATCAAGTTTCATAAACCCATTTTTTTTATACGGCTCCTTACATAAGTACTGGGCAAAAAGTCAAAGTGCCCTGTGTCAGTGCTGGTGCAGCTGCAGTAAAACCAAAGCACACCCAGGAGAACACACATACATTTGGTTCAGTTAGACATGTTGGAACTTCAGTGAAGGTTCAGAGAAGAAGTTAACAGAGTTTAAGGGCATTGTGTAGAATAAGTGTAAGAGTACTTCTCAAACTATAGGATTAGAGGTGTATATTGAAACAAAGCATTAAAAACCCCTTTGTACTTGAACAATTGTTATTTCATGTCTGTATGTCTGTATCACAAAGTATAAGCATGATAATCATGAAACTTAAAACAAACTTGTCCTTTTCTCCATCGTACTGAGCTACTGTGTGACTTGTCATTTGAGAAATTTAGACAGGTGTATTAAAACAAACATCTTCTACCTGAGGATAAAAAATTTATTTCCTGTCAGTAAGAGTATTTCTTTCCTAGAATAATGGAGAGCTAATTGACTTGGAGAGCTAATTGACTTGGTCTTCTCATTTCTCCAGGAAGCTCAGATCCATGACATGACAGCAGAGCACAGACACTGCTATGCAAAGGCACCTCAACATAGCTCCAAATTTTACTCAGCATGCAACTGAAATGCCTTTTGCAGCTCTAGTCCACCAGCACTCTGATCTCACCACGACAAAGATAAAAAAAATGTAGGTCCATGAGGATTTTGCAGGAGAAACTGGGAGCTAAAACAATCACAAGCAGAGCAGGCAAATTACTCTTCCTTTGCCACCCCCCTGGCAGGGTGCAGCTGCTTGGTCTGTGCAGGAGCTTGATCTGCTGCTCACTCACTTATTGCTGCTTCATTATCCTGCTCTAATCACGGGACCTAGATACCAAGGATTCTGCCTTAATCTTCCACTGATGTCCCTTTAATCATGCCATCAATTCTGTGCACACTGTAAGTCAGGATGAGGTCACTCCATCTTCAACTGTATGGTGTTTGACCTTACACATTTAGTTGAACAGAGAGCAGCTGAACAAAGTCATCTTTGCTTCAGCAAGAAGGTTACAAAATAGAATATTTATGGAGCCCAAGCAACCAGTATGACAGACCAGCAAGGCTTGATGGGCACCAGTACTATCTGTCATGTTCTGAGATGCTTTGTCTTACTGTTTCATAAAAAAAACCACTGGTT